CAGCAACCCCCGACACCCCAGCACCCCTTCAGATGCAAACGCCCCCTCCCCATCCTGTGCTGTGGACGTGACGAGCACAGAGACCCCCAGGAACGGCACTGACCTTTCAGGAAAACGCAGCATCATCCCAAATCCCTTTTCCCTTTTGGCTCTTAGAAGAAGGGACCCCTGCAGAAACCCCCTAGAAGTTCACCACTCTTCCTAGCAACATGTTCAATGCATCCTGCTCCCCTTTGGCAGCTGCCTGTCCTCCAACATTAAACCGGTCGCAGCGGGGCCAAGCATGGGAGCACCAACCATGCTTTGGTGCTCTGCACCCCTCTCCCACCTCTGGCACTGCCTGCCCGGGCAGTCCCTGCCTGCAGTTTGTTTGGTTCCCTCATGGAAGCCTTGCTTGCGCTTCTCCGCTCACAGCACATGGGAGTCCCAGCCCGCCCGGGGAGTAAACCCAGGCGTCTGTCTGCAAGCTGCTCACTTACAGCTCGCGAGGGAAACGCTGCTAGAAGGTTGCAACTGACTTTGCGAGGCTTCTCCCCTTCACAGCTTTTTGTGACAGTCACCGATGAAGTGCTGCCATTGGGGGTACCGAAGCCAAGAGGGACAGACGCTGGATACGAGGGTTTCAGCAAGGCCCTGGTGCTGGGCTTACATTGCCGGCATGGTTACACAGCTGATGACACCAGGACAAACACATGCTTTGCCTGCGGGATCCTCAGGCCCCAGTGTCGGAACAAGGCATGACCCCTTCCCTCCTGGTGTTTCATAGCTCCCAGCTATGTTTGCTTCACACTTTGGCGCCAAAGAAACAGCAGATGGCACGGCTTCTCCTCGCTCCGCCGCACGGCTTGCGGCACCCTCGGCGGCTGCGCCAGTGCCACCTCGCACCCCGCCAAATACAAGCATGTCGCTGCTATCGCAGGCGGAGTGCCATCTTGCAGTGGTGCCCACACCCACTGACAGGTCCGACAGCCCCGCTGGGGACCAGCCAGCAGATGGGCACGGACAGAGGAGGGGGACAGAAAGCAGCCCCTGCCATGTTGTCACAGCCACCCTTTCTGCCTTTTCTGGTTCCACTTCCAGATCTTTTCCTAAAGCTCCAAGTTTAACAGTTCCTGTTTATTGAATCCAGGGGATGCCCAAGCAGCCAGCCCATCCACAGCAAAGCCGTTCTCCCTTCACTGCACCACGGGGACCACGCAGCTGGAGTCTCTCCTCCCATGGCACAGGGTGCAGAGGGCTCCGATAGTCCCAGGGGTGCAAAGTGGGAAGGATGTCAAGGGGTGAGCAGGTGATGGGGGACACACAGCCTCCACCCTGTGCATGCCAGAGGACGGAGACAGACGTCTGCACTTAGGCAGACCCTCTGTGGAGGCCGTAGCACATGCGCATGCCAAAGCTGGAAGCTCTCAGCAGCCTGTCTGCAAAGCAGGACCCTGGCTTGCTCCCCAGAAACACACTGCATTTCCACCCCTTCCTGCCCCAGCCCCATCCCAGACCCCTTCTGTCCCAAGGCTCACCTCCCCCAGGGGTTTCTGACCCAGCAGATGCCTATTAGCAGCTCAGCACAGGGACACTGAGGCACAACATGGCAATTGTCCTATACAGCAAGCCCATGGCTGTGCAACGGGGAGAAGGAGGGCGCCCACTTTCCTTCCAAGCCCCCCGAAAGCCTTACGGCCAGGCTATGTCCACACAATTCCCCCCGCCACCCCGGCTGCACAGCATAGGGGATGGCAGCGGTCAGGGACTGGGATTTTGGAGACTTCCCTGCTCAGATCTAACACCCCACCGCATGCACGATGGCAGTTGGTGCACTATCTGCGGTGGGTCAGGAGGTACCCGCGGCTCTGGCTCTCCTGGCAGCCAGCAGCCCCTGCCCCACCGCCGCCAGTTCCCGGTGAGCCTCGGCGAGGAGCCAGGCGCGGGGAGCACGGCTCCCTCGGGGCTGGCAAGGGCTCGGCGGTGGGAGCCAACCCCCCAGCGCGCCGCCCTGCCCGGCACTTAACGGGGCACCCGAGCAAAACTGTTCAACATCGCTTCCCAGTGGGGAGCCCACTCAGGCAAACAAACCCCAGCAGCATTAATCTCCCCTGCAAGAGCCCGGCGGGCCGGAGGGCGGGTGGGAAGGAGGGGGCCGCAACGGGGCTGCGGCGGCCAGGCAGGGAGGCCGGGGCTATTACCACGCTCTCATTCTTTTGGCTAATCCTGACTTCACACTTTAACCTGATTGAGCCTTGTTTGGCGAGCCGGCTCCTCGCACGCCGTGTGAGGGGATTAGGGCCGGACGCAGCGGGGAGGTAATTGCTTCCCAGTGGCGCTGGCCCCGCATCCTCCGAGCCCCCCGCCGCCTGCCAAGAGCGCTGGGGCGGCCTGGCAGCCCTCCGGCCTGGCGCTCCCCTCGCCAGGCAGCCCAGCTT